GGAGCACTGGGTGTTATGCACAAACAATGAATCATGGAACACTACATCAAGAATTAATGATGTAATGTATGGCGATTAACATAACAATAAAAAATTTAAAGAAAAAAGTTTTAATGAAAAACCCCATAACTTTTTTTATTTTTATTTTTGGCATGTTTGGAGCCTGGCATATCTTTTTTTTTTTTAGACTTCAACTGTAAGATTTTACTACTATTTTATTTTTTTAGTTTCTGAGTTTAGTGATTCATCTGTTGCATATTTCACCCAGTGCTCATTACATCAAGTGCCCTCCTTAATGCCCATCACCCAATTACCCCATCCCCCACCCACCTCCCCTCCAGCAACCCTCATTTTTTTCCCTAGACTTGAGAGTCTGAAAAACCTTGTAACTTTTAAAGATCTCTTTATTTCCTCCACCCCTGTATCTCACTTTTAGGCATAATTCACTTTACATTCTCTTCTCTGGTTTTTATTTTCTTCATTAGAAAACACACAGTTGATGGGCTTAAGGCATCTCCTAGGGCTCTGGGACCATGTCTCCCTCCCCTCCCCCCCCATGGGGGGGGAGACTACTATATTAAGGTCTACATTAGAAAAACAAGGTGGTTTGATGTTAGGACAGATGTGATATAGTAAACACAGCAAAATGTTAACAATTGCAGAATACAGGCGGTGGATGTCTGTGTGTTCACTGCATAGATGTTTCCACTTCTCTGTATGTTCAAAATGTTTTCATAGTAAGAAGGATGGACTTAGTGAGTATCCTAACACCTTGCAAGAAGGCTACAGGAGCCTGAAAGCAGGAGTGTAGGGCAGGCACACCCTGAGGGTTCACAGAAAACCTCGAGGCAATCCACGGCAGCTTCCCAGGCACGGGAAGCTGACCCGCCCGAGCCCTGGCGCTGTGGCTCTCCTGCTCGCCCGGTCTCAGTTCTCAGCACACACTCCATCACCTGGTTCCTAGAACTCAGATTGCGCAGTGGTCACGTCATCATCGACCAGGGCTCACAGTTACAGCGGCAGAGGCCTCCCTAACTCTCCCTCATCCCCAGCCTAACCCGCTGCCCCTCATCTCCCCGCCCCGGTCCCCAGCCACACCTCGCCTGAAACGTTTTCATAATCCTCTCAGGCTCCGGGCCAGCGGCGCCGCCAGCAACCGAGGCCCGATCATATAAGGAAAATCCTGCGAGCTCATCTGCGGCCTACACTGGGGACTCGGGGACTCCCTGCCCTCCGGCACTCGCTACCCTCCCTCGGACGCCAATCACCCCCGCCCGCACCCCGACCCGGCGCCCGGTCTCCGGGTCTCCCCGTCTCCCCGCGTCTCTCAGGCCCAGCGGCCTGGGCCTCCGCCCCTCCGCGCAGCCGCACCCCGCAGCCAGCGACAGAGCCTCAGCCAATCCCCTCGCGCCGTCCTCCGCGCCCGGCCCACCCGACTTCCGGCCCCGCGCCAGCGCGCTCGCCCACGCCCCCTCCCCTCGAGCCCCCTCCCAGCCTGGGGGCATCTTGGTGTCGGGACGCCTGGTGCAGTGATTACGATCTGCGGGATGAAGGGAACAGTCATACGGGATTACGGGGTGGGGGGCGGGTTATAGAGGCCAGGGATAGGATGGATGGGGTAGAGTCAAGTCCCTGTCTCGCTTTGGAAAAGAGAGGTGAAGTCTTTAAAGGCATGAGCGAGGAAGAAAGGCGCCGGCAAGGAACCCTCTCTTCTGCAAGGCCGGCAGCTGGCCGAGTTGTGGTTCCCGCGCGAAGGCGCGCGGAGGGTGGCGTCTTGCCCAAGGGGCGATGAGCTCCGACCAGCCAGCCAGAGGAGAGGCGGAGGGTGGGCAGCCGGCCCCGGAAGTGGGGGAAAGGGCGGGGGCGGGGCCCCTCGGAGCGCCGCCCCTGGCCTTAAAGGCCGGGAGTTGGGCAGGCGCCTCTCCTCATCGCGGGAGGGGAAGTGTTGCGTCCTTGCTTGTTCGCGGCCATGGCCCTGCTCCGAGGTGAGCGTCGGGGGGATCTCTCTGTAGGGGGCTTGATGAAAGCCCAATCCGGAAGGATTGTTGGGGTCAAGGAGAAAACATACTTGTAAGGCACTAGCGACAGCAATTTCGGTGCAGTTTCCAGCTGAGGGTCGAGACCAAGGTTTGCTTCTGATCTTGAAGGTATTACCCCTCTTCGCGCAGACCACCCCTCCCCCACGCGGCCTGTTTTGTTTTCAGCTGTTAGGAAAGTTCGGGCGGCGCCGGAAGCACCGGGGGCCTCGGGCGGAGGGCTGCTTCGCAGAGGAGTCCCCATCTCCGAACAGGTCCTGGTTGCAGAAGTCTTGTGGGGACGAATAGACGGTCTCTTAGGGTCTCCAGGGAATTTCTGCCCCAGTGACCTGCTCCGCCACATGCTTGGTGACATTCTGTTGGAAGACCAGCTTATTCCCTTTCACTTCCATTACTTTAAATTGATTCCAGGAAAGTGCATCACTAAGTACATAAATTCTACGGTTATTAACTTAAAAAAAAAAAAACCTGTAAACTCCCTTCTCATAACAAGTGGTCACAGTCAATGGAATTTTAACTTTCAGGAACAAGAAGAACCAATCCCCCGTTTTTCTATTAGCATGCATCCCGTTGCACCCAAGGAATCGTTCTCTTACTACTATTTGGCTTTTTTGGGAATGTTTGTGTATCCTTTCAAGGCAGCTAGGCCTGCCTGCCAAATCTATAAACAGAAATGGATGCTGTAGCAGCAGTTTTCCTTAATTTGTCCTGGTAGCTGTCTGTAGTTGCTCTAAATGAGTTACTGTTTAACCTGAGGCAGGAAGGCAGTGTTCCTGTTTTGCGTCCTAGTGGGATTTTTTTTCTGTGCTGTCACATTAGCGCATCTTCCAAGTCCTTTGGGAACCACTGATCTTTATTACTGTCTACATAGTTTTGCCTTTTCCAGATGGCATATAGTTGGAATCATATAGTCGGTAGCCCTTTTGGATTGGCTTCTTTCATTTACCAGTGTGCATTTAAGCTTCCTCCATGTGTTTTCATGAATTGACAGCTCATTTACTTTTATTGCTCAATAATCTTCTATTGTATGGATGTGCCACATCCATTCACCTGCTGTACGACATCTTGTTTTCTTACACGTTTTGGCAATTATGAATAAGTTGCTATAAACATTCGTGTGCAAGAGCAGTGATTGCTAGATCATATGGGTGGGATAGGTTTTGTTTTAGTTTTTCTAAGAAACAGTGAAACTGTCTTCCAAAGCGCTTGTCTTTGCATCCCGGGCAGCAACAAAAGAGTTTCTTTTGCTCTGCATCCTCACCAGCGTTTGGTGGTGTTGGTGTTTTGGATTTTAGCCGTTCTAATAGTTGTGTAGTGGTATCTCATTGTTATTTTAATTTGTATGTCCCTAATGACATAGGATGTTGAATATATTTTCGTATGGCTATTTGTCATCTTTATGTCATCTTTCATAAGGTGTCTGTTAAAGAGTTTTTACCCACTTTTTAACTGGGTTGTTGGTTTTCGTTTCTTGAATTTTAAGATGTATTTGTGATGAGGGAGCAGAAGGCTAGCTGAAGACAAAGCATAAGCTGGACACCCTGCAACCTCCCCCCGCCCCCCACTCCTGGGTGGGCCCTGTGTGACATTCTTCCAGGAGTTTCCCAACCATGTTAATACCTTGCTAGAGGGGAAAACAAGCAAGGCCTCTGGTATCTTGTAGGTATCTTTGTAGGTGGGTCCTCTTTAGCATATGAAAGTTCTTTTGAAACCTCCCTTTTCCTTACATCCCCAACTCCCGAGTATATATAATCAGCCACGCCTGAAGACAAGACCTTGTTGCAGCAGCTCTCTCTGTGCGGGTGCTGTCACCATGGTTAAACCACTGTTCTGCATCAAAGACTTCTCAAGAATTTTTTCTTGGTCGTCGGCTCCAGACCTTACCCCACCGAAACTCACCTATTTTCCAAAACCGCATCATTTGTGTATATCGAATACCAGTCGTTAATCAAATGAGTTTTTTTAAGTACTCTTAGCTTGTGGCTTGTTCTTTTCATTTCCTTTTATGTGTCTTTTGCAGAGCAGAACTTTTTTTTTTTTTTAAGATTTTATTTATTTATTTGACAGAGAGACACAGCGAGAGAGGGAACACAAGCAGCAGGGAGTGGGAGAGGGAGAAGCAGGCTTCCCGCTGAGCAGGGAGCCCAATGTGGGACTCGATCCCAGGACTCTGGGACCATGACCTGAGCCGAAAGCTGACGCTTAATGACTGAGCCACCCAGGCGCCCAGAGCAGAACTTTTTAATGACGTTCACCTTACCACATTTTTCTTGCATGGATCAGACTTTTGGTGTTGAATCTAAAAAGTTATCACCAAGCCCACGGTCACCTAGATTTTATCCTATATTATCTTGTAGAAGTTTTACTGTTTTGCATTTTACATTTAAGTCTATGAGCCATTTTGAGTTATTTGGTGTAAAAGGTTTAAGGTCTGTGTCTAGATTTTATCTTTTAATTATTTTTGCACGTGGATGTCCAGTTGTTCTAGCACCATTTGCTGAAAAGACTACCCTCCCCATTGAGTTAACCTTTGTTCCTTAGTCAGACTCTGAGGTTCTGCCCATGTTTTTTGTTTTCTTTTTTCCTCTCCAGATTGTAAAATTTCTGTGTACCTCCTTTGTTCAAAATCACTGAATCATTTCCATTCTTCTGTGAAGCCCATTCATTTTTTTTTTTTTAAGATTTTATTTATTGACAGAGAGTCAGCGAGAGCAGGAACACAAGCAGGGGGAGTGGGAGAGGGAGAAGCAGGCTTCCCACGGAGCAGGGAACCCAATGTGGGGCTCGATCACAGGACCCTGGGATCATGACCTGAGCCGAAGGCAGACGCTTAACGACTGAGCCACCCAGGGGCCCCTGTGAAGCCCATTCAGTGGATTTTTTATTTCAGATATCTTTCAGTTTTAGAATTTCCATTTTGATTTTTTTTTTTTACAGTTTCTGTTTCTTGGCTGAGATGGCCTATCCTTTATTATAGGCCAGCATAGTTACTATAGATAACTGCTTTTGAAATCTTTGTCTGTTAATTCTAACATTTGGGTCATCTTGGGGTTGGTTTCTGTTGATTGTCTTTTCTCTTAGAATGAATCATATTAAAACACAAAAAATAAAAGAATGAATCGTATTTTCTTGTTTCTTCATATGTGCATTAATTTTGGATTGTAGCGTGGATGTTGCATATGAAACATTGTAGAGCCTGAATTCTGTTATGTTCTTCCAAAGCATGTTAATGTATTGATTGTTTTGTTGGCTATTTATTTTTGCAGGTAGTTAATTTGGCTGAACTCAAACTCTGTCTCCCCTCTAGAGGGCAACAGCTCAAATCTAAGTTCAGTTCTGTTAGCCTTAGCTAAGGTGTTTGTAGGGGTGCATGGTTAAAGGGTCAGCCAGATATTTAGACAGAATTCATATATATGATTTGGGCTCCTGCTTGTGGTGCTTTCCTTTCCCAGATTCATTCTCATTTACCAATGGCTGTGGTTGCCATGAACTCAGTTCTCTGAGTCTTCAAGCCAGTAAGACTGTGAGTTTCTGAGTTCCAGCCATTCACGTAGTGTGGACTGTTTGCCTTCAAGTCAGAGGCTATAAATAAATGGGAAACTCACCCTGAACTCTTCCCTTCTTCCGTATCGCCTCCGTATCTGCCTAGTTTTGTTCATTCTCCAAGGCCTTCAGGTAGTCATTCTTCTATACTGACATCGTTATTTGCAGGAGAGTTGATCAGATAGGAGCCATGATGACTCGCAGGCTGTAATGAAATTAAGAAGACGACATGGGAAGGGGACAGCAAAATGAAATAAAATACCAATAGAAAAATAGGTAAACTATTAAGCAAGGAGGCTTAGAGGACATTTGCAAAAATTCAGGAAGATATAGTGGCACAGAATAACCCATCTATCAGAACAAAACTTCTGTAATGCACTGAAATAATATTTATGGTCTTGTAAATATCTGAATATTAATATCTGTAAATATTAATTCGATTTGTTCCAAATCATAGTTGCATATGTTAGGAGTAACATTCTTTTATTTTTTAATGTTTGGGTTTTTTTTTTTTAAGATTTTTAAAATTTATTTTAGAGCATGAGCAGGGGGAGGGGCAGAGGTGGGAGAGAGAGAGAATCTCAACCAGACTCTGCGAGGAACCTGAAGCAGGGCTCCATCTCATGACCCTGAGATCCTGATCTGAGCCGAAATCAAGAGTCAGATGCTTAATAACCAACTGATGCCTAACCTAACTGACTGAGCCACCCAGGTGCCCCTCCTAAAATTCTTTTATAATGTGAGTTTCTCAAAGTAGGAATGAAAGGAGAAGCTGAAGTTTTGTTTGTTGTTTTGTTTTGTTTTTTTTAATTTTTTGATAGAGACACAGCGAGAGAGGGAACACAAGCAGGGGGAGTGAGAGAGGGAGAAGCAGGCTTCCCACGGAGCAGGGAGCCCAAAGTGGGGCTCGATCCCAGGACCCTGGGATCATGACCTGAGCCGAAGGCAGGCGCTTAACGACTGAGCCACCCAGGCGCCCCTTTGTTTTTTGTTTTTTGAGTTTTTTTTAGGATAGGTTGAGTTTGTTCCATGAAAGAGATAATCTCCACTAACGTAATCGGGAGAATTGTACTTAAATACCAAGAGTGGTATAATGTTTGTATGGTCTCAATTATAGGTTAATATCTTGGCACAAACCCATTGTTAAAAGTCCCATAATTTCTTGGCAGGACATGGAAATGTGAGCTCAGATTGTTTTGGGGGAAGCCAATGTATGCAAAGCACCAAGCCTGGAGGTTTGTCACATACTGAGTGCCTCCTGTGTGCACCACTGTACTATTTACCTTGCAGGATTGTTGGGAAGATTCGATAGTATATGAAAAGTGATAAAATGTCTAGTGCTTTGTTGGTGCCTAATAAATGTTAGTATGATGAAACGGCTATGTTGGGTGCTGCTTCCCACCGTGCAAGTTTTGCCTCACACAGCTCTAGCGAGCGCCACTCTCATCGGAGACTTCTGTAACTCTTTTGGGGGGAGGCGGCAGTAGAGTGTCTCAGGAAGGAGCAATTTTTCTTTCTTTGCACAAGGACATCAGTTGGACTAAGAGTAATACCATAAATTTATGGTCTTAATTTACATTAATAGATGTATAGATAATTCCCCTTTATTTTTGTGGTTAGATCAGGAAATTTTGTTGTATTCTAAGTGACACGTTTTACTAGAATATTGGCAAACTAGAATGTCTTTAATCCCCCAGAATTAATGTCAAATAAAGAAGTGTTGGGGGGCGCCTGGGTGGCTCAGTCGTTAAGCGACTGCCTTGGGCTCGGGTCATGGTCCCAGGGTCCTGGGATCGAGCCCCGCATCGGGCTCCCTGCTCGGCGGGAAGCCTGCTTCTCCTTCTCCTACTCCCCCTGCTTGTGTTCCCTCTCTCGCTGTGTTTCTCTCTGTCAAATAAGTAAAATCTTTAAAAAAAAAAGTGTTGGAAGAATGCCTTTTATTTACTTCAGATCTGGGAGATCTTACAGGTTAGCTGACTCCAGATCTGGAGGGGTTACCAGTGCAAAAGGTGATCTCTTTTGCCCACTTTATTCCAAGGGTAAACGGTAATGGTTCATGTAATTTGAAATTTGTAATTTAGTCATCCTGTGGCTCCTGAAGTACAGGCATATATAATTCACATTCAAAGCATTATCAACTCTACAAACAATTTTTCTTTCCTTTTTTTTTTTTTTCCCTAGAAACTATTTTTGTCACTTGGGATGCATTTGGGTAGACTGGTGGATAGAAGACTGGGTAAGCTGGCTTAGCTCAGTAGGAGGAAAAGTCATACTTTAGGTTGTCCATTCATGGGCACACTGCTTAACACAGTGGAGGATGCCTTCTTACTATAAGTTTTCTAACAGGAGTCTTTTTCTTTCACATCAGGAATTTTCTGTGGGGTGAGTGGTTGGCCTCAAACCTCAAGAGAACTTCTAATTTGGAGATTCTTTGACTCTATGATTAGGCAACATACTTCAGCACATCGAAGAAGCATTTTAGTTTTGTTTTTTTTTTAAAGATTTTATTTATTTGTCAGAGAGAGAGAGAACAAGCATGGGGAGCGGCAGGCCGAGGGAGAAGCATGCTCCCCGTCGAGCAAGGAGCCCGATACAGGACTCCATCCCAGGACCCTGGGATCATGACCTGAGCCGAAGGCAGACGCTTAACCGACTGAGCCACCCAGGCGTCCCAGCATTTTAGCTTTAACCAAATGTTTCTAGCGTTGTAAATCACTGGAGGACGAGAATGTTTTCTACCAGGATGGATTTACACTGCAGCATGCAGTTCTTGGGGACCACATATAGGTATTGCTCAAACTGATACCCTTTCATTAAAAGACTGCTTCTGTGAGTGTGACTTGTTCCGTGTATTATTGTGTGACAGAAGTTGTCTGAGTTCTAACTGAAAACAGTACCTAATACTAGGTTTCATAGTGAGATTATTTAAAGCATGTTAGGGACACTGACGAATCTGTCACTGCTTAAAAATCTCTCTTCATTGCAATAGGTGTATTCATTGTTGCTGCTAAGCGAACACCCTTTGGAGCGTATGGAGGGCTTCTGAAAGACTTCACGGCGACCGACTTGACTGAATTTGCTGCCAAGGCTGCTTTGTCCGCCGGCAAGGTCGCACCTGAGACCATTGACAGTGTCATTGTAGGCAATGTCATACAGGTCAGTAGGGCAGAAGGGAGGCATTCATTCTTACTGCTTTATGTTATCAAAAAGATAATTTCTTTAATATGTCTTAATGGTGAACTAGTTAATAATAGTTAAAGGTATTTATGATTTAAGTAATCCTGTGACCCTAGGAGCAATGGCATACATCATTCAAAGCCACGTATATTCCGGAAGCTATATATCTGTCCCATTGGGATTACATTTCATTGCTTCTTTTTTAAGAAGGAAGATTAAAAAATCTTCTTTTTTAAGATTTTATTGATTTATTTGAAAGAGAGAGAGAGACAGCAAGAGAGGGAACACAAGCAGGGTGAGTGGGAGAGGGAGAAGCAGGCTTCCTGTGGAGCAGAGAGCCCAGTGTGGGGCTTGATCCCAGGACCCTGGGACCATGACCTGAACCGAAGGCAACCGCTTAATGACTGAACCACCCAGGTAAACCCTTTTCATTGCTTCTTAAAAATACCAGATTCATTTCCTTGACTTACCTAAAGTTAATTTGTTCTCTCTCTGTACCAACTAAGGAAGGTAGAAAACCCAGTCAGTTTAACACACCTCCTATAATTTTTTTTCTTTAAATTTTTTTATTGTTATGTTAATCACCATACATCATTAGTTTTTGATGTAGTGTTCCATGATTCATTGTTTGTGCATAACACCCAGTGCTCCACACAGAACGTACCCTCTTTAATACCCATCACCACGCTAACCCATCCCCCCACCCCTCTCCGCTCTAGAACCCTCAGTTTGTTTTTTCAGAGTCCATCCTCTCTCATGGTTCGTCTCCCCCTCCTATTTCCCCCCCTTCATTCTTCCCTTCCTGCTATCTTCTTCTTTTTTTTTCTCTTAACATATATTGCATCATTTGTTTCAGAGGTACAGATCTGTGATTCAACAGTCTTGCACAATTCACAGCGCTCACCATAGCACATACCCTCCCCAATGTCTATCACCCAGCCACCCCATCCCTCCCACGCCCCCACCACTCCAGCAACCCTCAGTTTGTTTCCTGAGATTAAGAATTCCTCATATCAGTGAGATCATATGATACATGTCTTTCTCTGACTGACTTACTACACTCAGCATGACACCCTCCCGTTCCATCCACGTCATTGCAAATGGCAAGATCTCGTTCCTTTTGATGGCCGCATAATATTCCATTGTGTATATAGACCACGTCTTCTTTATCCATTCATCTATCGATGGACATCTTGGCTCTTTCCACAGTTTGGCTATTGCGAACATTGCTGCTATAAACATCGGGGTGCATGTACCCCTTCGGATCCCTACGTTTGTATCTTTGTGGTAAATCCCCAGTAGTGCAATTGCTGGATTGTATGGTAGCTCTATTTTCAACTGTTTGAGGGACCTACATACTGTTTTCCAGAGTGGCTGCACCAGCTTGCATTCCCACCAGCAGTGTAGGAGGGTTCCCCTTTCTCCACATCCCCGCCAACATCTGTCGTT